TTGCTGGAACTCGTACCATTAGTCTAGCGGAACCTCTGTTTTTTGACTCATAATGAATTTGACATTCGCGCTAAGCGCAGTGAATGAAAATAAGTGGAACTTTGAGCCGAGAATTGGCCAGGCACTTCCTCCAAGGTTCGATGTAGAGCTTAGATGTACTTTTGTCTCAATATCTTATAGAAACTGAATATGCAAATATGCTTGCAAGCATTTAGACTCTTGTGAGGTACCAAATCCAAAGCCTGGTATGACACTTGACAAAACTGGTATGGTTGCAAGCGACCAATCTGTCACAGCAACATGCATCGAACCAATGAAAGTTCTTGCTGGTGAGTGCTTCGATCATTTCATTAATTTCTCACTTTCTTTACTCTTTTAACTCTATCTCTTTGTTGCTTGAATCTACATAATACAGGAATTAAGTCAATGAGATGCGTTCTCGGTCACTGGGCCCCCAACGTTTTGGGAGATTGCGTTAATATTGATGAACTTGGTAAGTTTTACTCTCTAAAATGTCAAAAAAGTTTAATAATTGTGGACGATCTGCAGGCACCGTTGTGTATAGCGATGGAAAAGGGAATGTCATTATTAAATACCACAATGGTGAGTTATTTTTTATAGACTTGCGCCTACCGGAACTTTTAATGACAGTTTTCTTATTTTCACCTTCTGGTTTAACACTCCAGGCACTAGCATAAAGGATCTTGGCAATGGGGAACTACTTATCAAATACTCTAGCGGTCAGTCATATCGCAATTATCATTTGTGTAGAGTATTCTAGAAATTCAATTTTGTTCCATTCAAAATCTTCCGTTTGAAGGTGGATACGGTATCGAGCAGGTTAAAGGATACGCAGGAACACCAAGTGAGTTATCCTATACCTCAGAATACCCAAAGAAAAGCTTGCTTCGAGTGCTTCTACATTAAGAAAGGAGCGCCGTTTTTTTTTAAATTTTGTATAGCATTTTAGATAGCGAAGGGCACCGTTGGAGCATTGCCGATGGCCTGATAATAAGAGATGGTTCACCAGTACCTTCGAGTGGCTGTGAGTTGCTAAATAAGACTTCTAAATAAGCATGTGATGTTTTGTTGAAGGCACTGCCCCACATTTCCGAGAATAGATTTTTCTAGAACTTCTCTCAGCCGTTTAAGTGTGCTGCAAAAATATAAGCACCAATTTGCATTTTCCCAGGTTCTTGGGCTTTTTTCGGACTGGTACGGCGAGTTGCAGCGCGATTTTGGGTGATCTCAAAGCGATGAGCTCTTTTTTCCTTAATACAGATATTGCCAACTTACAAAGAAAGCTCTGCTAAGTGAGTGGGAAATGTGGACTATATTTGAAACATACAAAAAACTTCCGAAAGAGCGAATATCGAATATTCATCTGAAAATTTCGAGCAAATGATTAACATTCAAATCGCCTTTTCAAACAATATCCGAATCCGAGTTGAATGGAGTTTCAAATATTTGACTCTTTGAATAGTAGAAAACGGGCACTAACGCAATACTCATCTACTCGAATAATCGCTGCGTAATTTTCAAATTTTCAGCCATTCAGATGTCTAAATGATGAAATTGTTCGCACATTGCATTTGATCACGTATACTCAGCCCTAACCGAATTCGAATTTTCGCAGATAGTCGAGCGAAACAATATTCGATGATTTCGCAGATATTTGAGCAGGCAAATACTACTTGGATCTCAGTCCCAAATGCCTCAAATACTCGAACATGATTTGGTTTTCGAACATTCGACTACTGTAATCGAATGGCTCGAATATTTCATGCGAAAACAAATATGCGATCTCAAATGTGAGGGCTAACGCCAAGAAAATTGCGAAGAAATTTCGCTCATCGCCTGTTATCTTTCACCCAAACTTAAAAGCAGCGTTTGGACAAAACTAAAGTTTTACATTAGAAAATGATGACCTTCTTGCTAACCAACCGAGAAAATCTCTGGGTGTTTGGGTCAGTAGCACCCACTCAGCGATTTCTCTCTCAGCACCTCCATGTTTGTTTGCTTCCCTCAAAAACAGAGCTCTCTAGCTAAAAGGTATGCGATT